CTGGGATGGCACTGGGATGGCATTGGGATGGCATTGGGATGGTGCCAAGATGGCACTGGGATGGCATTGGGATGGCATTGGGATGGCACTGGGATGGCACCAGGATGGCACTGAGATGGCACCAAGATGGCACTGGGATGGCACTGGGATACACAGGGGCAGCACTGGGACAGCACTAGGATGGCACCAGGACGGCACTGGGACACACACGGACAGCACTGGGATGGCACTGGGATGACAGGAGGACACACAGGCGGTCCCACTGATGCAGACTTACGCTGACGTTGAGCCTGCCCAGGTAGAAGTCCAGCAGCGCGGCGCTGAGCTCCACGGCACGCTGCCGCTCGTGCTGCTTGCTGGATTTGATCCACGGGCCCAAGTGCTGCAGTATGGGAGGGGAGGAGGGGGGGAATAACGTTATCAGAGGGTGGTGGGGTCCTCGGGTGACACAGGAAGGGGACAGTGGGTGAGACGGAACCGGCACGTACCGCGAACATGTCCTGCAGGCCATGTGGGGTCAGGCTGCGCTGCAGGAGGGTCTTCAGCAGCTCCTGGAGGGCACCGAGGGTGTCTGCAAACAGCTCCTGTGGGGTGGTTTCGGGATGTGAGATGCACCCCAGAACCAGGGGGTGGTGGGGTATCCCCAGGAGTGGGGGGGTAGAGGGGGAAAGCCCAGGAATAGGGGGTGGAGGGAATATCCTCAGGAGTGAGAGATGGAGGGGGCGCATCCAGGAGTGGGGAGAGGGTGGAGGTGGGTGCCTCCAGGAGTAGGGATGGAAGGGGTACCCCTAGGAATAGGTGATGGAGTGGGAAGAAGAGGGAGGACCCTCAGGATTGGGAGATGGAAGGGAATCCCAAGGAACAGGGTATGGAGGGAACAGCCCCAGGAGTGGGAGATGGACAGGGGACCCTCGGGAGCTGGGGATGGAGGGGGCGCTCCCAAGAGCGGGGGATGGACGGGGGAGTTGGGGATGGAGTTGAGACAGCAAGGAATGGGGGACAGAAGGGACCCCCCCTGGGGTGGGGGACAGAGGAGAAACCCCCAGGGCTGGGAGAGGACAGGGGACCCCCAGGAATAGAGAAGGGACACCCCCAGGAGTGGGAGATAGAAGGGGTGCCCTCAGGAATAGGGACGGAGAGCCTCCCAACCTCGCTGTAGGCCGCATCGCCGCCGTCCCCATCGTGGTCCCACAGTGGGTCCAGTGGGGGCAGCGCCAGGACGCCGGCCAGGCACGCGTCCATCAGCTCCGTGCGGTCGGGGTCGCTGAGCTGGGGCTCCAGGAGGCTGAGGTGGGGGTTCAGGAGTGCGGTAGGAGGGATGGAACAAAACTCTGCTGGCCCTGTCACACACTCGCGGGGTCACCGGGGTTGGAAGAGACCTCCAGGTCCAACACCAATCCATCCCCACCACGCCCACCCTTAAGGGACCTTTAAGGACCTTTCTAGGCCGATCCCATCTCCGTTGACCCTTAAGGACCCTCCCAACCCAACCATCCCGTGGCTTTATGATCTTTCAGGACCCTTCTGACCCAATCCCTTCCGAGATGACCTTTAAAGATCATCCCAACCCCACAACCATCCCGCAGCTCTAGGATCCTTACAGAACCACAGGGTTGGAAGGGACCTCAAGGACCATGAATCTCCAACCACAGGCAGGGCCTGTGATCTTTAAGGACCGTTCCAACCCAACCCAACCATGCCATGTGCCTGTGATCTTTAAGGACCCTTCCAATCCAACAATTCCACGGCCCTATCATTTGTCAGGACTCTCCCAAGCCAACCATTACATGGCGACCCTTCAGAACCCTTCCAACACAAACATCCCACAGCTCTATGACCTTCACGGACCCTCCCATCCCAACTCCTTCTATGACGACCTTTCAGGACCCTTCCAACCCAACCATCTCATGTCTCTATGATCCTTAAGAGCCCTTCCAATCAGACCCTACCCTGCCCAACCATCCCAGGTTTCTATAAGCTTCAGGACCCTCTGATCCCAGTCCAACCCAACCATCCCATGCCTCTATGACCTTCCAGGGCCTTCTGAACCCAATCCAACCCAACCATCCCATGCCTCTATGACCTTCCAGGACCCTCTGAACCCAATCCAACCCAACCATCCCATGCCTCTATGACCTTCCAGGACCCTCTGAACCCAATCCAACCCAACCATCCCATGCCTCTGTGACCTTCCAGGGCCTTCTGAACCCAATCCAACCCAACCATCCCATGCCTCTACGACCTT